TTTGACGGCGTGCTGGACAGCGATGCGTTTTCGTACATTCCGCGCAACCTGTCGCGTGTGACGCAAAGCGTGGGCACGCGGGTGGTGTCGTTGGTGGCGACGGACTCGTCGGGCAACCGGGCACTGGGGCCTCTGCAGACGGTGCAGGTGCTGCCTGCGCTGGATCAGTCTGAGAAGAGCGGGTACATCCAGGTTGAGTTTGACACGGACCTGAGCGTGCAGGAGGATTCCGAGGCGGTGATTGCGGCCAGTTTCCTGGTAGCCATTGACTCGAGCAAGCTGGAGTCTGAGAGCGCGCTGGGCGATGCCCTGTACGCCCTGGACGTGAACGTGTATGAGAAGCCCGTGTGCTGGTCGTACCACAGTGGGCTGGCGGTGTGCCGTGTGGACACGCTGGACTCGTCTGAGGTGAGCCTGGATCTGGTGGCGAACATGGAGGGCGTTGCGGCTGTCATGCCACGGGCCAGTCCTGTGCAGGCGTTCCATGTGGGACTGAGTGCACGGCACTCGGTTTCGACGCGAGCGGCGATGCTGGCGCGTTTGAACGTGATGACACGAACGGATTTGGAGTGCCGGCACGGATTGTGTGAGTACCTGGTGGAGCGATCGGAGGTGTTGCAGCCGGTGCCGGTGATGCGCGCCCACCCACGCTCGCGAGTGACGCTGTCGGCCAAGACGTGGAAGGACGACGAGGACGTGGAGGCGGATCTGCTGGAGCTGGGCCTGATGCCGCTGGACTGTGTGCCTGTGGCGGGCCAGGCTGGGCGTGTGGTGGCCGATTTTGCGGGGCACCTGAATGCCGAGGCGCTGTCGGTTGTGTCTGAGAAGGGCATGTCGTTGGTGGGTGATGTGACGCTGTACTTCCGCCAGCAATTCAACGTGACGCTGGTGGCCAACGAGACGTCGCCGGGAGTGGCGTTGCTGGCGGCCCATGCGGCGGGTGTGGGAGGTGTGACGGTGGATGCTGTGACGGGCGAGGCGACCAAGGGTCTGGTGATGACGCTGTCCACCTTTGGGCTGGTGCATGCGGCCAACCTGGAGGCGATGCGTGGCCAGGCCGGCGTGGCGGGTGTGTCGACGCTGATGGTGGCCAAGACCGAGTCGCTGCTGGAGAGCGATCGTCCGTTTACGTACCAGTTTGTGTTGGACCTGTCGCTGCTGGATCCCACAACGACCACCACCGCCACGACGACCACGACGACGGCGCCAACCACCTTGCCTGGCACGTCAATGGAGCCCAGCACGGATGCTGCCAGCACCGATGCCGCCTCGACTGGCACGACCGAGGGTGATGTGTCCACGGCGACAAATACCAACGTCTTGCAGCGCCGCGATGCTTCGACGTAAGTTTTGTTCCATTCTGTGCTTGTTATTTGAGAGTAGAGAGTTTTGTGTGTATCGTCGTGCCAGCGGTTCATCTCTCACATACAAAAATCCAATCCTTGTCATCCTTGTTTTCCTGTTCTATGTAGAGCTGCTGTGAACGCAACCGACGCCACCATGGCCTCATCGACCCCCGAGGCGACCACGACCAGCACGACCAGCACTTCAACATCAACCACCTCGACGACCTCTACCTCCACTACCTCGACGACCTCCACGACCTCTACGACGACGACGACGACCTCCACGACCACCACTACTGCCTTGACGCCGATGACATATGCCAGCATGATTGAGACGCATCTGGGTGGCGACTCGCAGATGATCTGCACGGTACAGAACGCCCGGTCAGCGTCGTGCGTCCTGGAAACAAACCTCCAGCTGAGCGAGGCCGATTTGGTGGACCTGGATTCGCAGTTCCCGGCCATTGCGACGTCGTACATTTTGGCCGACAACTCGTTTGGTGGCGAGATGGCCGAGGCCGTGGCTGGGTGGGCACGCACGATTCTGGGCGATGGAGCGGTTGACCCCGTGGACATTCGCACGGGTGTGGCGGTGCGCGAGAGTCGCCGTCGCGCCAAGTCTGCCAGCTATGTGGTGACGGTGGCCTTTGATACCACGGAAGGCCAAGGATCGGATGCCAAGTATACGCTGAATGCCATCTACGATGATCAGAATGGCAACGTCACGCTGGCATCGCTGGCTGCTGATGTCCTGGCGCAGTTCCCTGAGGTCGAGGACGTCAGTCCCACGGATTTGCCCAATGAGGTGCAGTTGACTTTTGCCACGCTGGTGCTGCCTTCGGATGAGCTGGCGCGACGCCTGCAGAACCAGACTGCCATCACATCGCTTGGTGACCCTGGTAAGTGCTGCTTTGCTGGTTGCTGATGACTGGCAATGACGATGGCGTTGTTGTTGGCTGTGGCCAGTTTTTTCTTTTTCTTGCCTTTGACTATCTTTCCTTCCTCGACAGAGGCTGGTTTCGATCGCTGGTTGATTCGTGTTTTCTTCCTGCTCACCGCCAACCCTGTGGCTCATTTTGGTGTCTGTTTATTCATCTAGCTGTTGTAAGTGCAACGATGACGGCGGGTGACGTCGTGACAATCCTCGAGGCTGAGTTGGCACGTAATATCATGGTGATCAACGTCAACGGTTACACGTTTGTGGCCGCCTCGGATCCCGAAGTGCGACGCACCCCCTGGGTTGCTCCCACCACGACCACTACTACCACTCGGGGTTCGCGTCCCACCGGGCCCAATGGTGGCTCAACGACAGCACCTGGAAACTCGGGCGCGGAAGGATCGCGCAGCTCGAGCTCGAGCTCTGCTGGACCCATGATCGGCGGCGCTGTGGCCGCCGTGGTCTTGGTGGCCATTGTCATCATATTTGTTGTTCGTCGTCGACGCAACGCCAAGCCAAAGGTGTCACAGCAGGTTGCTGCGGTAAGGCCATCGCCTCGCCAGATTTACGCTCTTGTTCCTTCTTCTCATCTCTTCTGACCATCAACTCGTGTTGTATGATTGATGGTTCTTAGGACTTCAAGTCAGACACAAACTTCCGCACTGGAGTCATCAATCCGCTTTGTAAGTCGTGTTGCATTTACGGCATTTGTCCTCGTTCTCGGCTGGCTATCAACTCGTGCTTCTTGGCTAACTCCTTTTCTGTGTTGGTTCAACCGTCAGATGGCAACGTTGATACATCAGATCAAGAGGGTGTCTACGGCGAGGTGGATATTCCAGAAGCTGATGCCGACTCTGATCTGGATCAAGACGGGTTTTACCAGGACGTCACTGCAGAGAATTTTGAAGAGGAAGACGATATCGGAGGCGACACAGACGGCTACCTTGCAGTTGGCGCCGATGAAGAACTTTCGTCTTTGAATGTTGCTGGTCAAGATGTTGGCTACCTGGATCTGCAAAATAATGCTTCCCAGCCGTCTGCACCTGCTGTTAGTGCCGAAGATGCTTTTGGTGGCTTTGACGAAGAGGCTGCTGGGCAAGGTCCTGAAGAATATCTGGACATGGCAGCCGATGATGGACACGCGTTTGATGACATGTATGGTGAGGGCGATTTTGATGATTTCATGGACGAAGACGATGAAGTTGATGAGTGAGCTTGTTCAGCGCGACAACTCGACAACTCGACAACTCGACAACGCTTCAGCATCAAGGTGGCCATCAGTGTCGTATCCGTGTGGTTTTCAAACCAAGTTATGAGCGCGTTGCCCTAGGCCAGTATTTGAACAAACGCACTCCCCCTTTGCATGTTGTCGTTCGCGGGCTGTGTTTGTAGCCCCCGCATTTTTGTTCTTGTAGTTTTTCTCGCCTTTTAGACCTTCATTGACGGTCCATGTGACTTGTTCGTTGTCATTGTGACGTGCTTTTGAGTTTCCTTTCTTCGACTTTGTGCCCCGGGTTTGGTCTTGTTGGCTTTTCACCGAGGCTGTTGTGCGTTCTGGCCTCTTGTGCGGTTGAATGCGGCTTTGCCATTGCTTGTTCACCTGGCATTGGATCGCAAACCGATACGAGTTGATGGCCTCGAACCAAGCACAGAGCATTGTCGACGTTATGACGCCAGAGCTCAGGTGGTCATGCGGTCACGCTGAGCCTTTTTTTTTCTTGATTTTCTTCTCATTTCTTTTAATTTTTCTATCCTCCTTGGTTTTAACGAATTTGAACGTGGTCAACTACTCCAATTGATTTTGTGATGTTATGGGTCGAGCCACATTCCGCATTTGTTGAATTGTGCTGATGCTGATGCCAAGCCAAGCCCGCCAGACGCCCTCCATTCACTTCTCGAAGCCAGTCTGCATGACAAGCCGAACATAACAAAACCTGAAACGTAGCCATCTTTCTCCTGTTCTGTTGCAAGTGGTGGTATGGCCTGGTATGGCTGCGGTTGCCAAAAATGTTTTCCATATTAACAACTTTATGTGTGGCCTGTTTGGTTTTGACGTTTGACAGTTTGACAGTGTCGGCGTGGTTGGTTGGCAGTAGCTGTGCCCCTTGAGCGAGCTGCTTTGATGATTGATGTGTGTGACCCTTCTTCGAAGCAACCGCCGCTCATCACTTTTGAGATCGCTCGCGAGTGTAACGGTCAAAGCGTTGTGGCAACTCCTTGAGATGTATTTAAATTCGATAAATATCAGGAAGATGAAGAAATTGAAATACAATCATGACGATACAGAGTATCTTGTATTCAGACAGATGCAGTATATAGAGGACTTTCTGTTGTAATAACGTGCTATCATTTGTGTCACAAAATATCGAGTTAATGCAGTTTTAATAATGTACACAAAGGTATTAAATGAAGGACCTGTGTTGGTTAAGGTATCTGACTTGTTGCATCACTACCCATTATATTTTCTTGTGTCAAATGACGGCGCGACGAGTATGGCGGCAGTGACCGACGAACCAGCCCAATGGGCTACATGGGTGGCGGACCGGGTCTGGCGTGGGACCTGGCGTCAAGGTGGCACGTAAGTTTCTCGATGCTGCGCTGGCGGGGGCTGTCACAGGTCGTGCTCATGTTTCTTCCGCTGATGTGGCCCAAAAACGTTCAATGACAGGCAAGGCGGGGTGGCCTGCTCGTCGCATGTGGATCCGATGACGTCCACCATGGAGACGGTCTTCTGGACGGTGATGGGCATTTTGTTTGCCATCTCGCTCAAGTTGACGACGCGTTGGCACCATGAGCTGGGCATGGGCCCTTTTGAACCTGGCAAAGCCTGGCCCGTGATTGACCGACTGCTTGCGGTGACCCACTGGGGCATGATTGGTTACCTGCTACTCGTCAAGTATGGCAGCGGAACTATGCTGTACATCTTGCAGCCTTGCCACATTGTCATGGTACTGCAGGGCACATTGCTCATGCTCAAGCCCTCTCGAGTGACGCGGGGGCTGCTGCATGCACACTTTGTGCTCATCCTGGGCGCTTTTGTGGCTATCGTGCTTCCGGATACGGACACGTTGGAGGCCCCATTCGAGGTGGAGGTCTTTTTTATTCAGCACTTCTTGATTGTGTTTGTGACCCCACTACGCCTGCTCAAGCTACATGATGGAGGCCATTGGCGCTGGATCAGCGTGCTGGGTGGCCTGTGCATCATGCATCTCATGCACTGGCCTTTCTATGTGACCACCGGCTCCCTGACGCACGTGAACCTGCAGTTTATGCAGTGCCCCACCGTGGCCCTGGCCGAGATTTTGAAAGAGCTGCCCCCTTGGGTAATCACTCCATCGTACCGGTCCCTGGTTACTATTTTGTATCACATTGTGGCTATTGGCGTGGCCGCTGGATATCTGGAGCTTGGCCGCTTTCTCTTTACGCGTAAAACCAAGTCCTCTTGATGCGCAGCTGTGGCGTCAGTGCATGTCGCCTCGTGCCTCTCTTGGACTGTGGTTTTGCTCAGTACCAGGAAACACGTTGCAACACTCACGACTTGAGCAAGTGCTTGGTAATGAGCGAGACAGGAATGGAGTGGCGAGGAGAGAGAGAAAGAGAGATAGAGCGTGAGACACCAGTAGGCCAAATACTGGCATGACCCTGGGGTCTACAATTAAAAGGCTCAGAGTCAAGCGCTTGTGCGCACCAACCAGAGCCACCTGCCTGAGGTGGCAAAATTGATTTTCCAAAGCTTAGAGTCGCGCGAGCCTGAACACGGGTCTATTTACTTCGATTCGTCAGGCACCCGGCGAGAGTTACACAGCACAAACTCTCTTTCAGACCGCAATAATGCAGCGAGCCGAGGGGGATATGTGAATAAGGGCGGTTAAAGGGATGGATGAAAGGGGTAAGGATACGGTGTCACGGACACGACGGCCCTCGGGGCCAAAAGTCGGCTACAAGCGTGTCAGACGCAGGAGGCGGCCAGACGATGTATCAAAGGTTTCGACTCGTTCGGCGCCAATCAGGTCCAGCAAGTGCAGACGCAGGGGCAAGCGAATTTTGCGAGACTTGATAGCGAGAAGATCAGTGGCATAGCATTCTCTACGGACGTGACGGGCGAGCCAAGTTATGCTGGCAAGTGTAATTTCTATACCCGGTCATTGGGGCGAATAAAAAACACTGACTTGAACTTTTTCCGCTTGATACGGTCAAGGAGAATGCGCTGACCAGCAGCCAAGTCAGCAACATATGAGCCAACGCTGGGAACAGCAAACCAATAAGAGTCACCTACGACCGCAAAGGTCCAAGCACGAGGGCGCAGATAAGATACCATGTTCAAGTGAGGCTGAATGTAGTGCCGCCTAGAGACGGGTCAAGGTGTTCTAAAGCACCTACCGTCACGCAGCGTTAGGAACCCAGCCCGTTGCAAGAGTTGAATTTCTTCTTCGACGAGCCGATAGTCGCCTTCCAAGACGACCTGTGGGGAAGCGGACAAGTCAATATTGGGGGCGCCAGGAAGCTCGGACCAAATCAACTAGCATCGTAAGCATGGGTAAGTGGACAGACCTGAGTAATAGACCGTTTGAGGGCATTTTGAGCGGCAATGGTTTTGAAGAGGGCAAAGACTCGTTGATCATCCGCGCGAACTCGCTGAGTGCAGAGCTCAATGTGTGCTAGATAATCTGGGAGCCACACGGATGAGCTGGCCGAGACTATGCCAAAGCACGTTCGTGCAGACAAGCAACTTTGATCAGCGCACCGTTGGTTCGCACAAGAACGTCGCTGTGCGGGCCTCCCAGATGAAACATGAGAATATCCCCCTTGCGCTTCAAAGCATCCTAGCATCGAGCCCACGTGAGGCATGGCTTGTGTTCATTTTCGAAAACGAGACAGGATAGGTGCACGCACCAAGCTACGTTGAACAGCAGTTTGCTCGACGTTCAGGGCGGTCAGATGGTGCTGCATGCACAATGGCGGCAGCTTGGAGGCGCTCCAATAAGCAGCAGGCACGAGGTCTGTGATCTGCCGCGTCAGCTCCAGCGCATCCACCGCCGAAGCAGCCCCACGTTTGGCCCGCTTCCGCGCCGGTGAAGCCGCAGCTCCAGCCATACTTCCAAAGAAAAAAAAGCAAAACCACCACCAGCAGCACTGCGATCAAGTCGAGCCCCAACTGGCTCCTCTTCCTCTTGCTGTAGCCCCGTCAGCTCGTCGCCAAATGGTGTTCTGAGCTTCCAATTTTTTTTCAAAAAAAAAAAAAAAAAAAGCAAAAAAGCAAAAAAGAGAAAAAAGCAAAAAAAAAAGTGCATAAGCGGAAGTGTGGATAAAGTCAGACTTTGGTTGAAAACGCAACTGGCTGGATGTATCTCTGCAACTGCTCATCGAGGTGTCTCTATCTCTGTTACTGCTTCTCCTCAATACGTGCTGCGATGAGCTAAGCGAACAACTCTCTAAATTTTTGCTTTAGCACTTCTCCTCTCTCTTTCCTTCCACACACACACACACACACACACACACACACACACACACACACTCTCTCTCTCTCTCTCTCTCTTTCTCTCTCTCTCTCTCTCTCTCTCGCGCGCGGTGACGACAGAGCGAGGGCGTTGCGGGCGAGTGGTCCGAGTGGCGTAATAATATTTCTTGATCAGTGGCATCTTGGCCGTTTTTATTTTGCCTCTAGGGCGGGGTTGAAGTATCCTGGTTGGTCAAGTATCACCCCCCTGGGGTAGCTGTGTCTTGGTGTATCTGGCGCAACGGCTCAAGGACTGGGGCAAAAGACTGTCGCGTTGTCAATTTGGCGCCGACGTTGGCCAGCTGTGCTGGCTCGAGCGTTGGCAGAGCTTTGAAGGGCCCCTAGAGGCTTTGGCGCGCCCGGCCAGCTCTTAGACTCGTCGAATCGGAACCCGCATCCCCGTTCTTTGTGCTCGCTTTGTGGGCCTGGACCGCACTGGACTTGGTCGTGGAGGCACCAATGGCTGGCGCTGGGGTAGCAGGATCAAATTGGGGGACAGCAAACTCGACCGTGCGCCGTGCGCCGTCTGAATATTAGTTCCTGAGGTCGACCTGCTTGTGAGTGGCACATCTTCCTTGATCGGGCGCTACAGGTTGCCTCTCGGCTGTACCCTTTGTGCCATGGGCGCTTTGGTGAGCACGGCGGCTCACCCCAAGCCCCAGGCGGCTAGTGGGCTGCAGCGCGTGGCCAGCTCTCAGAAGGTAGATTTTGTGTCCTGGATCACGTCGGTGCTTTGGTGTCCATTGACACTCCTCTTCTCAGTAAACATGGACCTGGTATAGGTGGCAGAGGCAGACGTGGCAGAGCTTTTGCAGCACGACTATGGTGTTGAAGGCGATGCGTAAGTCCTCTTGGTCCGCCCATCGCGCGCATGAAACTTGCCACAAGTCGTTCCTCCTGCCCATTCATTTGAGGCCCTTGATTGGTTTTGCTTGCTTCGCTTTGGTTGGAATAGCGCTACGGCCGATGCCGTGGCGCAGTTTGTGGACGGGCTCGGTTCGGCTGTTGGTGCGTAGAGAACTTGATCCCCAGCGCCCTGCCATATACTCTTCCAGCTCTATTGCAAGTCTCAACGGCCTTGTGGCTGCCGTGCTCTCTAGTCAAAACGGGCCCTTGGACAAAAAATGTTGTGCACCTGACGCAGTTGGCTGTGCGCGTCACTGAGCAAGCTGGTGGGCTCGACAGCGCTGCATCCTCTGCACGGCCCACACCGCGGTTAGTCGTCTATCCCACCGTAGTCATGTTGGTTCCAAGTCAAGTGCAGCCAAGATGGATTCATAAAAAAGGCTACCATCAGGCTTGATGCCTTATTTTATAGCACGACAGTGCGCCACTCTCATTTGGTTGGATATTGTGGGTCAATTTGTTTTGGCAGGGAGCGAAGCGCGCTGCTGCGCCAGCTTACAGCCGCCCTTACCTTGCTGCGACATTTACTTCGCTTCTTGGTGTCGACCGTGTCGGAGCAAGCCTTGTTGGCTCACGTACGGACATGTGGTTCTGTCCAAACTGTCGCTTGTTGCGTATAAAGGGACTTGTTGATTAGGTTGGCTTACCTGTCGTGGTCGCCGTTGCGCAGCTGGAGCCTGCCACCTACCGCATGGAATATGTCTTGGCCATTTACCGCCCACCGCAGCAGGAAACAGACTTGAGCACGGCGATGGAGCAGGGGTTGCGCTCACCCGTGCCCAAGGTTCTCAAGAACAAGGCCTTTGCCGATCCCTCTCGCCCACAGAGCCCACTGGTCGGCGAGCAAGTCACGCCCTCTGAACTGCTTAATTATTCCCACACTCTGGCCTTGATGAAGCTGCTGGCGCAAGGGCTGACCGTCGATGCCGAAACACATGAAGAACAGGCCGTGCTGCTCGAATCCGTGTCCACCATGCTTGTGTTGCTCTCCAGAAATTTGCACCATGACTTTCGTGAGGCATCCATCTCGGCAGCCGTCGATGCCTGGCTGACGTTGCCGTATGAGGAACTTCAGCAAGCATGGGTGCACCTGGCGGCGTTCCTGGGGCGTGCCAACGCCCTTGATGCCCGCGAAGAGGAGGACGATCTTGTACGCGACATTAGCCAGCTATTCTTGATGCCCGTGGCTGTACGTGTACCGCCTTGTCCTTTGTCAACATTAGCACGCCAGGCTGGCCAGCTGCTCGAGCGCTCATCCCTTGACCAAACTCACACATTATTATTGCACCTCCATTTCAGCTGGCCCAGCAAATGTTCGGGGCCAATCAGGCCCAGCGTGAGCGTGCGCATCTCCGCTGGCAGCTCTTGCAGCTGCGCGCCCCGCAGCTCCTGCTCATCCTGCTCTACTACCAGTCAGGTCTGTGATATGTGCCCTTTCGTTTGTCATCATGGTTGCTGTGGCCCGTATTGAATTGGTCTGGCCAGCTCATCTCGTGTGGTCTGCGTGGATCAGGTGTACGAGCGCAGCGGGGCCAGGCGTTTTGGGACGTTTTGCGCAATGCTGGCCCAAGTAGTCATGCACCATCTAAAGTGCTGACGGTCTTTCCAGAAGCTCACAGTCACGTGCGCCGCTGGACGTTGTCTTTTGAGGAGCTTCTGACCACCTGTCTTCGGTACATCTCGCTTTTGGGGGCCTCGCCGAGTCTTTGTCTCATTTTACGTGACAGAACGAAGTAAAGCATGCTCGCTTTTCTCATGTTTGATCGGGCATGTCAGGCACTTGGATACCGTGAGCGGTGCAGCCTGGCTTTATCACTGGCTCTGCTATAACAACCAATTTTATACCTTCATCTTGGACGACGCGCAGCGCACCAGCCATTTGGTACGGGTGGCCCAGAACCATCGTTGTCACATTTTGATGAGGTTTTGATGATCTAACGGCCTTGTCATATTGGCAGGTGCTGCGCCTCTTACAAGGCCTGCATGGCCTATCGTTGGCCAAGTTTGAACTGGTTTGTGCCGTGGCTTGCCTCGGGCGCGTCACCGTGTAAGACGGTCGTTCAAGTTGATTTTCAATACCTCAATATGGATGGTATGATGGCAGGGGCGACTTCAACTATTGTGCTTGCTGATGCTTACGGAGCGAGTGTCCTCGTGTGCTACGTTGCAAAATACGGTGTGTCTTTCCGATTACAGACACAAAGGGCCCCGGTGACCTCGGGGACAGTTCACGCATTTGTTTTTGGCTGCTAGCTCGTGGAAGAGGCCAGTTGGTACAAGGTGCATGACGCGACGACTGATTCGGTGGTGGATCTGGCGATTGGGTTGCTGAGCAACTGCCTTCACTTTAATCTCAAGACTGTGCGGGACCGCGACTTTTTCATCTCGGGAATCGGCATTCTTCTGAATCTGGCGCCGTATGCCGTGCAGCTGAGCAATCACAGCTCGCAGCTGTTGACGCGGTTTGTCTCGGGAATGCAGGCATGGCCTCAATGCCCGGTCCGCTCTGCTGACGACAATCCTGTTTGGGCATTGTTGTCTAGGCTTTTCAAGTTGTGTCACCGCATTTACTTTAACAGCCGCCAGGGACAGCAGGTATGTGTGTCGAATGCAGGGCGTCAAATGCTCATGTGTGTATAGTCCATCGCTCATGAATAGCGTGCGATTGGGATTTGCTGTTAGAACTTGGCGCATTTGCGGGCAGCGCAGCGCTGTTTGCGTGCTGTCTTGAGTGTCATTAGCGCAACTTTATCACACAAGTAGGTTGCCAGCTTTATCAATCATGAAGGTGGCAAACGGGCGAGAAAGAGGCTCTGCTCTCATGATGATCTGTTGTGCATGTTCATGGAATGCAGCACGCGCAGTCAAGTGTCTTTGGTGTACTGTCTGTTGACCGAGGCCAAGCTATTGGGGCAACTGGCCTCACATGCCCATTTAGGGCGGCCTTTGAGTAACTTGAATACGGTAAGAGTTCAGGCCACTGGCTCGTGTGTCTCAGCAACCCATCGCCGCGTCTTCTCATGAACAAGGTATTTTGAACTGCGAATAGCTATTGCGCGTATTTGAGGCGCTATTGCAGCACGATCGAGGCGCAAGTGTTTCGCACTGGACATCGGCCATCCGAGCCGAGCTGGCCCGTTGGCCTGCTGACCGCTTTCCCGTGAGTTTTGACTTGTGCTGCTTGGCCGTCCCTGTTGTACTTTGTGATGAAGAGGGGAGAACGTTTTCCTGGTTGGCTGGGGCTCATGAATGCTGTTTGTGCAGGTTGTGCGTGTCCCCCGGTACCGTTTCTGTCCAGAGCCAGACAGTGCTTTTTATTGGTTGCGGACGCTGTGGCAAGCCGTGCTCCACGAGGGGCACGTATTGCCCGATCGTGCATACCGCCTGTTTGAGGAAAGTTTTGAGCCAATGGATTGATGAAATGTGCTCCTTTTGTTGTGTCAGCGTGTGACGCATGATGTGTCGTGGACACCCATTGCCATTTAAAAACTCAGTAATAAGGCACATTAGGAGTGTCAGGCTCAGAACCTGGCAGAGAACTCACAGATTGCCAGCATCAACTTGGGAATCAATGTGGCGTTAAGTGATGGAGCTTTGTGCGTAAGGCTTGTTCAACACATGTCTGAGACCTTGGTTTCATGCTTCCTCGCGCCTTTCTAGTACCATGAGCTCAGCCAGAGTCATATGGGCTGCCTCGAACTCATCGTTCTTTGAGTCAAGGCCTCAAGCGACTTGCCGGACAAGCGGTTGATGTACGATTCGCAAGCTCTTTCCAGCTTGTTGTGCGTAGCAAGCTGGCTTCTTGAAGCAGGCGCGCACTCTTGCTTTCATGCAGTCAAAACGAGAGCCCAAAATATCGCATAAACTCAAAAGGCGCAGCAAGGCGCGAGCATCATTGTCCAGTTTGGCGGTCCACCTACTTCACCACCCCAATGACGCTGAAAAACAATTTCCTGGACACCCTTCCGTCGCCATACGCACTAGAGGGGTCCACTCCCGGTCCCTGCCCCTACTTAGGTATTCATTTGATCACCTCTCTTCCTCTTTGTTAAGACATCTACTCTTGTGCGCTGGAAAAAAAAACAGGATCCGTTTACGTCGATCCGATTTCAGACTGGCGCGCCAGGCGTGCGTCAGAGCTCGACCGGCGTTTGTCCATGTGCCCATCCATGTACTATGACCGCCAACACGTCGATCGATCGCCCCAGTGGCTCCTGCCGCGAGAGAAATCGGAAACGTCCTTATGGGTCGGGTCATGGATCCGGACACTTATCCCCTGTCAATTCCCCCAATAACCCAGAATTACCCACAAAGTTTGCAAAAGGTGACGTGTGACTCGGAAAACAGATACGATAAGCCTAGAGCGATCGATTGCAATCGCAACACCATGGTCCCCCCACTGCGCCCAGTGCCACGCGCCTTGCGTGCCTGATCGTGTTGCTTTGATGGTCTGATCCTGACCAGTGAGTCGTGCCTTTCTTCATTTTTTTTTTTTCCCTCTTGCCCCTGCCGTGCGCCATGTCGCGGAATCAACCTCCGTCTGGCAAGAAGACGTTGCGTCGCAACTTCTCGGCGCTCTTCAACAATGCCGACGGGCAGGCCTTGTTCGAGTGCGATCGCTACATGATCGCACTCCACAAGCTGCAAACCAGCGATGATCCAAACCATGGGCGTGTGGCGTACCGCCGCTTACTTGGAATGCACGGCGGTGGCTTTGGTACCAAGGCTGACCAGGAGCAAATCGAGGTGTGGAAAAACAACAACCTTGACAAGGCTCATCGACCCCTTATGAAAGTCAAGGCCGATCTCGATGCGGCACAAGCTGAGGCGGCCGCTCCCCTCTTCCCCGAAGGCAAGAGCACGGCCACACTGGATCAACACGATACCATGACCTCCTGGCCAGACCCTCAGCCCAACGTCACGCCTCGCAAGATCGAGGCTGACGCGCCCGAGAGCTACCTCACCCATGAGTTTTGCTGGCACGGCTGGACACCGTTCTTCTGGTGGCATCGACCTCTCATGGCCGAGTTTGAGTGGCTGCTGCAAGAGAACGACCCGATGGACAAGGGCCACAACAACTTTGACGCCCTTGGTGCCCACTATCTCGACTGGGACAACTGGGATGGCCTTGCCCTTCCCCCTTACCTCAGCAACCCCCAGTACATTGTGCGCTCCGACAAATTTGCTGACAAGGGCTTCCCACAGCACATGGCCTTTCCGAACCCGCTCTATCGCTGGTTCGCCCCCGTGCACGCCGAGGACCAGCTTCATGAAAAGTTTCCCGGCCAGTATCCTGATGATTTCAACTGCACGACGCGCGACCCGGCCTATCGCTCACAGGCCTACGGGTACACTGAAAGCTGGCCGGTGCTGTACACTCCTGCTGATCCGAGCAAAAAAACCAAGGCCACCAACTCGATCCGCGACATGGTCCACGACGCCATGCTCAACCCCAACTTGGAGGAGTTTGCCACCACGGCGGCCGGTGGTAGCGGTAGCATGGAGCAGCCACACAACCTTTTCCACAACCGCTTGGGCGGCTCATACGGGGACGGCTCATTCACTGGTACCATGACCAGCCTGCAGTCCATCTATGACCCAATCTTTTGGCTCCACCACTCCAATATTGAACGCCAGTTGATGTCCTGGCAGCGCGCTTGGGTGCCAGAGAATAAGCCCGGCTTCACCCCCTTGCCCGAGTCGCTCCCCGATGAGGCCACCAAGGCATACCGCATCTATCCTTGGACCAAGCCCAACTTGGTGTTTCCAACCAATGGCGAAGCGCCTCAGTTCTCCTGGTCAACCCCTGCTGACGTCGATGGTGAGGGTAACGCTGCAGCATCAACCACAAACGACGGCACGATCGGTGACTGGTGGGCCTACTCAACTCTGCCCTACGAATATGACAACTACCTCATCCCGGAGGGTGACCCGCGAGGTGAACGTCTTGGCGCTTTTACCGTGGGCAGCCCGCGCCGCATGCGCTTGGACGCCAACATTGGCAAGCAGCCGTCTGGGCGCTATGGGCTGGAGACGGGTGATGGGGTGCTCGTGGACACGGTCGCCATTCAAAACGCCTTTGCGGGCGGTGCTCGCTGCGCCCGCTGCCAGGGCAAGAAGGGCCAGCATCTGGCCTTTGACGTAACTGGCACTTTTGGGCCTGAAGACCTGGAAGCGCTCGAGAAGTGGCGTAAGGCCGGAAAGCCTAAAAGGCGCGTGCCTGCCCTTGCACGCGCCCGCATTGTACGCGTGTTTGCGGGCGACCGTCGCGTTGTCGTGGCAGATGGTGACGTGGCGATCGAAAGCGTCGACTTTTGGGCCAACCGTGGCCTTCGCAACCCAGCAGCGAAGCTCACTCTCAACCAGAAGCAGCAAGTCAACGTCATGCTCAAGACCCTACCCGTGGCTCAACTGACCTCGGCAGTGGGGTCAGCTTCAGCCACGACCATGGGCGTCTCTGGGCCTCGTCCAATGGTCGCCACGACAGCCAATCCTACGTTTGAAGCAGCCCTCGCCGCCAATGGCATGTCAAGCACGGTGGACTTTGATCCGGCGCTCTGGACGGTGGGCATGTGCCACGGAAGTGTTCATGATTTTACGGCCGAGCGCTTTACTGTCCGCCTCTACGACCAAGCGGGCCTCCAACCAGCCAACGCGTGGATGTCGCAGCTGGCGGTCACTGTCAGCGATTTGAATTCTGACAACCTCGCCATTGCCGAGCCAGATGAGTTGGCCAATGTCCTGGTGGTGGTGACCGAGATTGATGGCCCTGGCAACCCGTGGATTCTGACGTCGCACCACAGGCCAAATGCTCCTCACCCCGCGTTCCAAAAGGTGCAGCCCCCGTTCGAGTTGGCCAAGGTTGTCGCTGCCGACAGCGTGTGGATTTATGTGTCACCTGCGGTCCCAGAAGAGCGGCGCCAGGCTGTGCTGACACATGCACTCGAGGGGCACGTACTCAGCCCACATCCACACACGCTCAACGAGGGGCTGTTGGAGCCAACGCCTTCGTCCGATCCAGATGAGCCTGGTGAGTCTGGTCAGACCGCGTCCAAGCGTTCCCCTCAGGCGTCCCGCAGACACAAGCGTTCCACTCAAGCGTCTGGCGGGCCTCCGCCCAAGGTTGTCAAGGGGCTGTAAGTGCCACTCTGTGCTCGAACGAGCTCATCGGGATGTGGCACGACATGTTTTTTTTTTTTTTTTTTTTTGTTTTGTTTTGGAACTGAACAATGGGACACTCGTGCATCGCCCTGGGATTGTGCACCTGCTTTTGTGTTCTCTCTTTGACTCCTCGTCTTGCGTTTTCTGTTATTGTGTGCGCGTGTTTGACCATGTCTGCGAGGTTGTATAGCTGCCTTGGTTATCCACCCCGCTCTTTTCTTGAGAGGTTGGAGCTGATGATACTCGTGTGTGTAAAGCGCAATACTCCAATTGATCATTTTGACTGTCAAGCTCTTTTTTTGACAACTGATTTTCCTGCCAGTCTTGGGCGAGAATGTCAAGTCACATTCGTGCTTGACCATCAACCTCTTCTGAGCACTTTTTAGCTCGGAGCAGCGATTGACTTGCGCTATTTCTCCCCAAGCATTGTCTGCCAAAACATGTTTTGGAAGAGTGCACCCTCTTTACAATAACATCAACACACAGATCGGTGCGTTTCGAACGCTCCGAACCGCACCTCTCAGTGGCGAGCTACCCACGAGCTTTGGCACCGGTGTGGAAGCCAATCTCACGCTGCCACCGCCCTTGCCTTTTTCGAGCGACATTGCCTGCTTTCAACACGGCATCACGGTACAGAGCATTCCGTGTGTCTGGCCAGATTTGCGCCACGGTGTGGGTCTTCTTGATGCCATCATGCTGTCCAGCCGGCGCAGAGAGCATTCAGAGGCCCTCGCTTAGGAGCCATGCGCAGATGGCGAGGGACCATACGCGGCAACATTTGTCCAACATAAACAACAACGCCCCGCCATGGCACCGTTGATCCTGAGGGCGGTGATCCAATTGGGCAATTGAGGGGACGACCAAGCAGGCGATCTGCAGCCAATGAGCCAGCACCCTTCAACGAGCTGATCTGACCATTTTGCTCGTAAAAACATGAATTTTATCAATTTTGCGAAAAAAAATAAATAAAATGGAAGCGTCTGACAATCCCGAGCTTGGTCTTTAAGTTCAAAGGGGTCGTTTGATTTTATACTTGGTGGTGAACAACACCAGAGCGATGAGCGCGCCGGAGCGCTGGATGAGTGAGGCGCTCAAGGTGGCGGCGGCGGCGACAACGGCGGGTGAGGTGCCGGTTGGCTGTGTTTATGTGGTGGATGAGCGGGTTGTTGCGCGTGGACACAATGAGACCAATCGAGACCGGAATGCAACGCGTCATGCAGGTTGGTGTGGTCGTGTGTGCGCGCGAGGGCGGTTGTTGTGTCATTGTTTGCTCATGCCTCGCGCTGCGTTTGCCGCAGAGTTGGTGGCCTTTGATGCCTTGGTGGAGCAGGAGGGGCTGGACGAGGCACGCGATCTTGTTGCACGGGCCACGCTATATGTGACAGTAGAGCCCTGCGTCATGTGTGCCTATGCACTCCGGTACGCTTCAGCCCTGTCCCACGTGGCAGTAGGTGAGCATGACCCCCGGCTCTCACAGGTTTGGACTGCTGAGCAGGTTGCTGGGGGTGCCCAAGGCTATTTATGGCTGCTCAAACGAGCACTTTGGTGGTTGTGGAACCGTGCTGCCCATCAGCAGCGTAAGTGATGAGCACGGCGTCGCATGTGAGCGAGCGTCTTGAGCAGAAGTTCATCGGCATTGTCTCGCATCCCTCCCTATGCCTGGCTGGTAGTATCCAGCACCAGATAGTGCGGTCCAACTGCCCTGGCCCGCGGAGCTGGCCGTGGAGGCGGGCGTGTGCGCTTCCGAGGCCGTCAATTTGTTGCGCATTTTTTATGCTGGCGAGAATCCCACGGCCCCCGAGCCCAGAAAAAAAGCAGCTCGAATTGTGAAGCTATTGCCCACGGATGGTTCAGCATCGAGTTGACGAGGTCAGTCTGCCGAGTTGTGTCAACGAGGCTGACACACGAGGGTTGCCACCAAGGCATACGGCTTGACAGGGGGACATGCACACCGAGGCATGCGGCTTGACAGGGGGGGGCATGCAGTTGAGGAAAAACATTCGATTTTATCACACGCTATTCTGCCTGACTTGTGGCGGCATGCTACTCTGCGTTCTACTTGGTTCCCGGTTGTAGATTATGGAAGCGTTCTTGCAGCGCCGCTTCCACAACTTCAACTCGGGCACACGGAGGACCTATACTATCATGTCCTGATCGTTCCGTCCTTGTGGGGCGGAGCCTTTGGTGCGCGCGCGGCGCGCTTGATTCTCATGTGCGGGCTGAAATGGCCAGAGGCCAAGGCGCGTGCTGCAACCTAAAACAAGTGGGCGGCACGGCGGAATTTTGATGCCGCTTGACGCTCCGCCTCGGACACTTTGAGGTCATCCAACATGACCAGGTCTGGAAGCTGGCTAATGACGTATAGGCTATCAAGTGACAAGAGCAGGACACCGGGATATTAGCTCAAGACAGGGTGGCAGCTGCCACAAGCAAGCACAGCGTAGGGCCGAGCCCACTGTGCACGATGCCAGCAGCAGTCATGTTGCAAGGGCGTTGTGGATGTGACTATTTTCTCCTTCTTTGGTGTGCGGGCTGCCGCTGAAATTTATCTGGCAAATTTGTTGGTCATGGCAGCACTATGATTCACGCACCGGTACTCTGTGTTTTCAGCTTTGGAGCCGCCGTTGAAGTACGACGGTGCCGCGGGATTGTTGATCATGCTAAGAACGCGAAGCTTGGGAAAGGCGCGCTTGACCTGTGGCGAAACAGAGCGAATGAGAGGACAAGGCAGACATGACATAGCGTGACGAGCGCGAGGGTAAGAAACGTCTTTGGGACCACAACAACGCAGCGCATCAGCTCACGGCTGGAGACGCACATCTTCCACAAAGACGCCGAGGTTGTTAATCTTGTTCTTGTTAATGTACTACCCTCATCCAGCAGTCATCAAGCAGGCAATGAGCACAAGACGCGTTTGAAGAAGTGGAGTCGTGCGCCACACAACGATACGCACCAGGGTCGAGAGCTCGGGATGAAAGCGAAACTGGCAATTGTGCTCGGTCAGGAGGTTGTCGTCCAGAATCAGAGTGTGCAGCTTTGTAAACCCGGTGAGGGATGACACCGAGCGCACCTGATTGTGACTCAGGTCCAGCTCCTGACATTCCGACCCAAACTTGCTGGCAATCGCCGGCGGCACCTCCCGCAAATCCCGGTACGCCAGGTTCAACCGACCGCGATCCATCGTCACGGCAGCCATGTCTTGGGTTGGCTGGTACCTGGCTCCCTTGTCCGTCAAACAACACCCTCCCGTCGGCTTTCAAAGGGCAGCGCGCGTCTCTGCTTCTGCACTGTGTGTGAGTGTGTGTGTGAGTGTGTGTGTGAGTGAGTGTGAAATTACGAAAAAAGGAAAAAAAACAAAAAAAACAACAACTGACATCAGATTATTTTTTTTTGTTTGTACATCCGAATGTAGTGAAATAAAACAAAAATTCCCGAACGTGCGCGGTTGTTCTGAGGGATGGTGCGGAGAATCGGTCATGTGATGCTTTGATTATTTGACAGAGTCGTTCGGTTACAGTCACATGTCACGTAGCTTGATGGCGGTCGACTCACCAAAGGCACGTCCGGTCAGCTTTCTATCAAACCGTCCCTTGCTTTGTCACGCCAATTATTCCTCATCAAGCTTAGTGACGGGAGAAGGAGGTCGCACAGCCTCAAAGTGCATGTGATGGTTTGATGGAATCAGCCCCGGCGTCAAGCTGTCGCGGTGCCGGCTGCTTCCGACTGACAGGGCCGAGGACGGAGGGCGCTTGATGGGCTCGCTTCCTGCTGCTGCCATAGTACCCGGGGTGCCGGGCGGTTCGTAATTGCCTGTCCAGGTTGATACGAGACTTGAGCCGGGTCGTTGTCGAGCGGCCGGCCGGCCGTTGGGCATGAGGCCCTGACGCCGCAAACTTTCGCCCTGATGAGTTCCAAGCGGCTCGGGCGAGTCGACACGCGCGTCAAGAACCAGAGCGCCCAGATCCGGCGCACCACTCGACTGATTGCCCATCTGCAAGTCACATGGGTGCGGGTGGGTCAGGAAAAGAATCACGGCAAAGAAGCTCGCCATCCGGGCCTGTGAAGCATACAGCTGCAAACACGAAAAATAGGTTCATGACCACACCAAATAGGAAAAATCTACCTGGCCACCAAGGGGCGGAAGTCGACTACTGGATGAGCGCCGCCGCGACTCCAAGCCAAAAACTTGTCCAGGACGCGACTTGGAGTAGCGCAGGGTCGCGCCATGGCCTACAGGCGAGGATCGAGCCCCATATGTGGTGAGCTATAGACACACGATGGAAAGTCAAAACTGCCAAGTGCCGAGCGCACCGGTTGAAATGGGCATTCGCCCCGAGAGGGCTCGGGTTGATGGTGGGCGGGTGGTTGCATCGGGTCCCGGCTTGGCATCGTCCAAGAGCTGTTTACTGGCGAGGGTTCCTTCGAGCGCATACCGCTCCTCCGTGATCACCCGATCCAAAAGGCTCTGGCGCCGCTCCAAGCTGCGCTCTGCATAATACAAAAGACGATTCAAAAACTGCGCAACAGACCCAGCATGCAATAGGGCGAAGCGGTGAGTCTGCATCGTGGCTTTGTCGGCTCTCTAGCAAAGTCGACACGGTGGAGCACCGACGATAATAACACCAAAACGTGGGGTCAAGCTGCTGCCACTCACGCCCTTGGGCAACGTGCTGCCAAACCGAGAGGGATCAAACGTCGGGCGGCGGGCTTGGATGTCTCGGGAATCGGGCAGAGCATCTAGCTCCTCCAGCGGATCTCGGTCCTCGAGTGGAGCGCCAAACTCGCCGAGTCCCATGCTTTGCTCCATACCAACGCCACGTCGGTCATGGGCTCGCGCACTTGAAACCGGTCGCTTAACGGAGGACTCTGCGACACCAAAAACAAATGCAATGCACGTGAGTGGGCGCACACTGGTGACAGCGCGCAAGTCGGTCCGGTAGAATGCCCACCAAAGAGAAGGTCGGTTTGGCTGGAAATGTGGTGCATTTGCTTGAGCTCTGGGTGTTCTGTAAGCAGCTCTTGCAGGTCCTGCTGAACACGACGTGCTGCGGCCCGTACTTCCTCCAACTGGTCTTCATGCTGTGCATTCAGGGCTTGCATCTGATAGGCATGAAGCATGGCAAGATCCATCATTTCCTGCAGTGTAAAGTTGGCCTAATTTCATTCCGATAAAGCGTAGCATGGGTGAGTCTTGGCTGCCGCTCGCAACAGCTCGTACAACGAAGAGGCACGCCAAAGCGGGATGACCTTGTCCAAATCTTCAGAGTTGACATCGAGCAGGTTGAACAAGTCATCTGTCAAATCATCACACGTTTGAGTGAGCATGTCGGTGAGTGCAGCCCGGTGCGTGCGCAGGAGCACTTGCCGGCCATTTGTCCCTCTGATAGCTCGGTCGCCGGGGGATCTTGCATCGCCGCACGCAAACTAGTTCCATGGCAAGACAGGTTACAATGGTTAGAAACGGGGTGGAAAGCTTGTTGGGCAAGACAAACCACAAGAGAAACACACCGGCCACGTCGTCGAATGACAGATTGCGGTCGTGTCGCGTCATGTGGCCCTCTCTGCTCCACGCTAGGCCTGTCAAGCAAACACCAAAACATACGAGGTAGTGTGGTCAGCTCACGTATCAGCCAGGCAAGACGGAGGCAAAGGCCAGGCCACGCACGGTCGTGTGGGTGTATGAGCCAGAGTTACGCTGGCAATTAGGTTAATGTCCTCAACGTTGCGAGATCGAGCATCCGCTTCACGGCGGTAGGCCTGGTATCCGGCGGTCACGGGCAGGCGGATGCTAACACGGGCGTGGCAGGTCACGGTAATACCCACGTTCTCCTTGAATATACGGTTGCTGTGGCTCAGGCTCGCGTCCAAAAGAGGCTCGCAGCTGACCAGGCCGTCAACCAAACACTGGGCGTGTGGGCCCAACCCAGCACCAAAGACACGGATGCGAAGTGCATTGTTTCGCTCGGGCTGTGGCAGCACGAGCTCAAAACTACTGGTGTCTGCATCTGGAGGGTCATCAAAGGGATCAGCGGGCAAGCTGACTTTGGACACGGCCTTTGAGAGTCCATCGTGCAGCAAGGCGGCTTCCACCACAAGATCAGGGGGAGTGCAGTCCTGCCAGCCATCAATGAGGTGGATGACGAGACGCAGCGGGGCACGGTCACGTTGCTCTGCAGCCAGTTGCTTTTGCCCTTCCACAAGGCATTCACTGTAGTGGGTAGGAACGCCGGCCAAGTTGGCTTCAGGGGCAGTTTTTCGCGTGGGAATGCCGGCTTGAACAGCTTTGTGGGTAGAGGCGCGATTTTCCTCAGCTTCTTGAAGCTGGCGTCGCAGGGTGAGCACCTCCTTTTGCAGCCGTTCGGTGACGCCTGCGCTGCCCTCTGTCTCGCCGCGCTCCCGGGCCAACAAGCTGCGCACGATGGGGGGTACGCGGTGCTTGGTCACGGGTTTGACTGGAAGCGGAAGCTGAGCAGAGCCATCCGCGTCCTCGTCATCCTCATCATCGCTCAAGGGGTTGGCGGCGAGGCCGGCCATGACGCGCTGGCGATAGGCAGGCAGTAGCGAGGCCCACCGCCGACTGTGCGTTTTAATGGCCAGAACACGAAGCACCACGCGCTGCCAAAGCTGGATGGGTCGCTCCCGCTCAAACACGTCCAGAGCTGCTTGTGTCTGCTCCAGTTGGGTGAGTGCAATCTGCAGTTGTCGTTGATGGCGCTCATAGGATTCGTGCAAGCTGATGAACGCTTTGTTCTTGTGACCCCAGGGCTCACGGTAAAGATCAACAAGCCGGAGCATGTCCAGGGCCGGAACGGAGAGTTGTAGCATGGCAGCTTGCAAGGAGCCGACGTTGGCAAGAAGCTCGAGGTTGGTTTCGGTGGGTAGCTCCAGGCCCAGTAAATTGTCCTTGAAGGTACTCATTCCCTGCACCACGACGTCCAGCTGTTGAAGCGCCGTCTCAAAGTCCTGCGACAAGTTGGCAAACATGTCATCCGAGGCCGAGGGCATGGCCCCGCTCACCGCAGCGACCATGGTGCCGATGGCATCGGCCATGGCTTGCTGCGAGCTGAGAATAGTCTTGAGATGTAATCAAAATCCAACGCTGCGCCTGCGAGAAGGCGCAGGGTGGTAGCGCACTCAGCAGCAGCGGCGTGTAGCGTCTCAAGACCAACTAGATCATGATCTCGTTCAAGGCCGATGCCGAATGAAAGAATATTACACGGGCAGGGCGCCTCGTCTCTTGAAGCTACCAAGAATAAATCACACTAGAGGTAAGCAGTTTCAATCCAGCCCTGTGCAGGTGACCACAAGTACAATTGCGTGCTGAGAGGATACCAGCCGCCCGTCCCCAGCGTCGCGAGCCAGCAGCGCGCACGGAGCAATCGAACCTTTTTTTTTTTTTCTGTTTCTCGATCGTTGCCAACCCTTGTGCGATAGTGTATAAAATACGTCACTTTGCTTAAATCTCTCTCTTTCTCTCTCTTATGTGGTAGTTGTGCTTCTTTGACCGACCAAATCAATTCATTTTCTCTCTCTTCCCTTTCGTCTGCTCTCGCTGCTCTCTGCAGCTTTTCCCTTAATTCGTCTTTCAGCCCGCCCTCTCCTCTCTCATCGCATCTCCTTCTTGACTTCATTTAACAAAGACTCGGAAACAAACAAGACACCAATCCTCGACGGCGAGTTCAATTGATTACTTTCCAAAACGGGTTCAGCTTGTTAGTAAGAGTCCAGGGCGCACATGAACTGGTGGGCCACAACATTCAGTGCACGCAGGCGGGATGACGATGAGACGGGTAGGTGCGTCAACTTGGTGGCATCCAGTTGGTGCTTGGCCTCCCAGGCGGTGGCAACGTGGCTGGCACACTCGGCACGCAAAAGTCTATTGACAAAACGATTGGGGCGAACGAGCAGGATCAGGTAGGAATAGGAAACATGAGCACATGTGCCGGAGCCGAAGCAGCAAGCGTGATGACGGATTACGCACCGTCGCTCAGCATCAGAAAGACCAAAGCCTTCGAGGCTTTGCACAATGTTTTGCGATGCCTCCACCTTAATATCAGCGGTTGTGACGTCAAGCAGTTCCAACAAAACGCGCCCGCCACGCTCCCAGTGCTGAACTTGATATTGTTGGCGCACGCCCGCCTCGACGCGATGCAAAAAGCCGAGAAGTGTATGAAATTGGCGCGCTAGGACCAGCTGCACAGCCAGCTGCCGCATGACCAGCTGGTGCGCCCTGTCGTATTGATGAGCGCGGAGAAGATGATCGACGGCCACGGCAGTGTCCCGGCGAGATAGAGCATCTTGTGCCAAAGCCTCGTGGAGCCAAGTCTCGGGCACCTTGAGTTCAACCTTCAAAAAGTCACGCTCGGCTTCGCGGCACTCAGCAGTCAGGTGACGCAAGACCAGAGTACGCGCCGCGTGGGTGCGTGGCACGTCGTCACGCAAGTGAAGTAGGACAAAGACGGCGTGGCACCAAGCGCCCGCGCCTTCCAGCTGAGCGGCAAAGTCAGTCAAGAGCTGGGCCTCGGCGTGTGCATTCAATTGCGGGGCGCCCAGGGATCGGAGGATGAGGTAAGCCAAGCACGGCAGGCGCAAGTCATCCAGATCTGGGCCCACGGTGCGACCCAGCAAGGCCCGCTCCATGTTGACGTTGGATGGGCAGGCAAACATTTGCATGATGTTGAACAGCAAATCCCCAAAAAAGTCAGAGTTGCTGCTGGGCATGCCCGACGCATCATCAAACTTCTGCATGCCAAGCATTTGCTGTGCCTGCAGAGCTTCGGGGTCCAAATAACTCGGTGAAGGTGCTGCGGCTTCAAAGGTTTGCACCGCAGCGCCGGACTTGCTCCGGCCCGAGAGCAAATTGAAAGCAGATCGTGCGTAACTCTACCAGAGTATCAAGCAGCCACAAATGAGTTGCTTCAAAGTCCAACAAGGGCGCGCAACCATTATGCACGGATGCCAAGACCTGATGCAGAGGACACAAACGTACCCGAATGCTGTCGGCCACGGTCGCGGTGGAAGAAACGGCATACCAATGGTGGACCGCTAGCGCCGCTAGCCACGGTAAGCCTAGGAAACAGCAGTGCATAAATTCAAAGTTGAACAGCAGGTGAGCTGCCCATCTTCTTCGATACAAGCAAGTTCAAAAAGTAGAGTGTTCCTGGAGAAACACCGCTGTTAAGCAAGCTTGACCTTGGCAGGTTGGCAAACGCGTCTGGGCTTGATCCGGCCAAATCATAGCACCGGCCAAAACGGCATAAATGCGCAAGCTAAAAGTGGGAACACAGCATGCACATGCTTCGTGAGCATTGCGCCGCTGTTGGCCAGAACCAAAAGAAAAAGCACAATCCATGCTAGACTACGGCCCTTACCGGAGCGGGTGGATAAAGTCATCCGCTGCCCGCTGCTGCCAGTCTTGCAACTGGTTCAAGAGCCAGCTCCGCATCTTGTTGGCACCACCAGCTTGTGCAATCAGTAAACTCAAATGATGGTCCTTCTGGCTGCTTGCTAGCGACGCAGCTGACTCCAAATCGTGAACCAGCAGGGCACGCAGCACCTGAAGAGAAACAGCGGGGCAGCATGTGAGCAAGGTCAAGCCCAGACAAATGCTACACAGCTCCAGGGTCGAGCAAAGCGAGCCGTACATTTTGGAGGTAGGGCACATCATCGACAACAGAAGTGGCAGGAAGACCTTCGGTCAGATCGAGACGGGCCACGAGGGGAGCCACGGTGGCTGAAAGCCATTTCGAAAATGCTCGACGGCGTGCCATTGCAGCGGCGTATAGTGAGCGAGTGGGATCCACATGTCCGTGTGCGTGCATGATGAGCTGGCTAAGTCCCGTTTCAAGCTCCTCCACGCTTGGAGAGGTCCCAACCAGATCCGGAGGGCACCAGAGTGCTTCGATGAGCGTCCAAACCTGAAGCAAGGACCAAGGTGAGGAAAAGATGGCAGACATCCCAAACACACGTAACACATGAAGAGAAAGGGAATAGCGACAGTGAGGGGGGCAGAGTCTTTGCAAGCCTCACCTGATGATCATACTGCGCAGCTGCCTTTGTTGTGCCCGGCGCTGCTGTTGCAACAAGCTGTTGCGCATGGGCTGACAGCCGCTGACAAGCGTGCAGCGCATGCGATCTTCGCGTTGTAGCTGGGTCGGCACTCTGCTGACCACTCAAGCTCGCCCCCATGTGCGCTTGATGTGCCAGATTTTCATTGTATCCAGTCATGATGGCCGGGACCAACTCGGCGTCAGCGCGTAGTATCTCAAGCGGGGCGATGCTCAAGTCGCGCAACACTGCTGTCTCGTGTGCGTCGACAGCGCTACGCACGGGAAATGAATCAGGGGATGCGGACCAGGCATAACGATAAATTGGAATCCCTCGGCGCTGGCCAATGGCCGTGCCCTGGCCAAGCGGAGGTGCACGAGCATCTACGAATCCAACATGTTGTCGTGCACACAATGAGCGCCACCAAGTGCGAGACATGCCGACCAAGCAAAATTAGACGCTTTTTTTTTTTCTTCTTCTTCTTTTTTCAAGCCCGCAATTATTTTCCTTCTCACCTGAGATAGCAGCCAGGTTCAGAGGCTCGGCTTGATGACTCGGCACAATGATACGATTCAGATGCGTCCAAGAGCTGCACGAGGACCGGCCCAGCATTACAGCCGAATCCTTGGGAAGCCGTTTGTCTTGGTCCAATGTTTCAAGAAGGGCTTCTGGTTGCTTCAGTCGATCCGCCCCCATCTTCAGACGCTCCAATGGAGCAGGTGCCGGCAGCAGCACAACCTAATTTCACCCGTCGGTAAGAACTCACCCAGGAGAGGAAGACAAAATTTACAGTCTCGAGCACAAGTCAAAATAATGGTCGGTACCGACCTGCTCTGCATCCTCATCAAAACGGGCGGCTTTTTTGAGAGGAGGTAACGCCGCCAGCACGTCTGGCTCGGAGCGCGATTCCTCTGTCACAGCAGCGTGGGATCGTGCCGCAAATGGTGACGAAAACTGCAAGCCATCTTCGTCTTCGGGCGCACGGTGGGGAGGAGCCACAAAGCGCAAGCGGGTTGCCGCAGGCTGACTCTTCGTCGTATCTTGATAGTCTGGTTCGGCGAAAAGTTGATGTTTCATCGACTATGCGCGCACCCATTTGTATTTGTTGTGAGTTTGACGATAAGGAATCCTGCGACATCATTTGTCAACATTGGCTCACCGTGAGCGCTTCGGGAGCTAGGCCAGTGGCCAGAGCAAGACGCTGACCCGCCGACTTTTCCTGTGTACCAAGGTAGACATTCAACGTCAGTTTTTAGAAAAAGAAGGCGGGGGAGGGGGGGGGGGGGAGGGGGAAAAGATGTTTCAGGCACGACACCAAAAGCATAGTCAAATCCAAATCAGCGTCGATTGCCTTGACTCAGCGGTTAGAACCATTCAAGAACCATCCTCCCCAAAATGCATGCACACAAAAAAGAAATCTCGCGATCTCAAGACCTATGACTACAAGCCAAGCGGCATACCTCGCCGGCCCATTCCCAGTGCTGGCTAGAATTGGCTTCAAGATCTCGGTCCTTCAGGTCGCCCGACTCTTCCAAAACCACAGCCATGTCCTCAGCCTGATCATTGGCCCCACTGGCTGAGAAATCCTCATCCTCGTCATCATCCATACGGATGATGCTTGAATTGACGTTGGGCTTGACCAGAGGGCTGCCGTGTGCCTCTGGTGCCGAGCGCTGGCGCGCAAGGCCCGAAATCAGAGGCACGCTCGTTTGGCGAGCGGCAGGCTCTCCACTCTGAGCAGCAGCATCCTCCTCATCCTCATCGTCGTCCATGCCATACCTTGATGCGATGGAGAAACGATTGCAATGGAATGAGATGTTACAAAGTGGCAATGCGCGATGTGAGCAGCGGGACAAGCTTTACAAGGCACATACCGACTAAAATGATCCACCTTGAACTTCCAAGTTCCATTCTTGTACGATACAAAGTGAGCACCAGCACGTTTTGTGTTGGTTTCAACCTTGAGTCGGTACTTGGCTTCAGCTTCCGGCGCCGAAGAAAAGTCCTGAATGCCGCTGGGGAAAACACCATGCAGCTCAACGGTGGCGGGACGGTTAAGTCCTTCGCCCTGCGCTGGTTTCTCCGGATACTCTGGTGGGTAAACACTGATTTCCTTGCGCTGGATGCTCACAATCTCAGCAAAGTCCATGCCTTCGCTGAGATCGATGACGGCGTCAAACTCCACGGCACCAAACTCATTGGAAATCTGTGTGCGTACGGCACAACATGAGGTCGGTACGAAACACCTTGAAAACGGCGCAAACGTTAAACGCTGACTCCATACCTTGAGGTGAGTGACGCGGCGCAGGTCAGCAGCTGGTACAGCAGCAAGTTCCTCTGGCGTGTATGGGCGTGGGGCTGACTCGTGTGCGGATTGCAAAACCATCTTGTAGCCCTTGCGCAGCGTAAATTTTTTGACGCGCTCACCATCTTTGTCTGCCTTGGATGGTGCGACGGGCGAAGGAGTGGCAGCCTTGTCCGAAAAGTCCAAATGCTTTGGCGGCAAATCAAGGACAGACTGCTCGGCTCCTGAGTCAGAATATTGTGCGTCCATTGCGGTGACATTGAGATTCTTACTGCCAGCCGCACGCTGGGCCGGGGCTTCACTGCGCGCAGACGACACAAAGTCGTCGCTCAACAGCCGGTTGGGCACGTCTTTGACAGAGCCTAACGCGAAGTGTAAACGCGCAAGATTTGAGTCACAAAGCAAGTTATCCTCGCACACAAGAGATGGGGGCCACAACTAAAAGCGAATGAGGCCTCACCTGCTGCCGGTTTGAGCACAAGGCGCTTGATGTCGCGGCGTGGCGTCAGTTCGGAGACTGACAGGGTTTGCTGATCATCGTCGTCATCCAGGTTCTAAATCAAGAGCAGCAGGCAGGTTGGTCACGCTCCATGTTGACGGGCAAACGGGAATAGAGGTGCACACGCGCAAGGTACGAACAATGATTGGATCATGATTGACGGCGCGAACGGGGATGGTGCGGCGCGAGCCAAAAAGAGGAGGTGGCAGGGTGCGGCCAGCGCTGCGAACGGGTTTGGCAGTAGCGCTGCTTGGAGCATCACCAGGACTCTTGCTCTGGCGTTCCTTGTTGGAAAGTCGGAACAGCTTGCGATCACCGTAAGGGCTGCTGCCAATGCCTTCAGGGCCAACAGGGATGGGCACTGAAGGCTTGATGGGCAGTTCAGGTAAACCTGCGGACAACAAAAACGAGAAGCATGAAACATGAGACACGGGTGATCATTATCGGTCAGCATTGGTTGCCCACAACCGAGAAGCAGCTTACTCGGTAAGGCCAGCGTGGCACCAAGGTTGGCTGTCAAGTCCATTGTGCACACACCACGCGCGCATGAGCATGATCTTGCAATGCATGGACCGTACAGAAGAAATGGTGAGGCACGGTGACGTACCGGGCATGGTTGCGGCCATCATGTTTGCGCCCATGGCGGGCATGGTCATCGCACCAGCTGCATACAGCAGAAGAAGTTAGCTGGAGAAGCAGGTGAAACAGAGGAGTCACCAAAAGGTTCGCTGCACCACATACCTGCATTGGCCATGGGGTTGCTTCCAAAACCCGCAGTGGTTTGGGCACCTCCAAAGCCGCCAGGCTTTGCCATGCCAAAACCGGTATTTCCAAAACCAGAGGCTTGGGGCTGGCCAAATCCACCAGCCGCCTGGGTTTGTCCAAAGCCACCAGCACCAGCCTGGCCAAAACCGCCGGCTGCCTGTTGTTGACCAAAACCTCCCGCCGCACTAGTTTGACCGAACCCTCCCGCGGCGCCGGCTTGGCCAAAGCCACCGGCCTGACCAAAGCCACCAGCTGCACCGGCTTGACCAAAACCACCGGCCTGTCCAAAACCGCCGGGCTTCTGGCCAAAGCCACCCGCCGCAGCGCCTTGTTGGCCAAAGCCACCTGCAGTAGTGGCGGTCTGGCCGAATCCACCAGCTTGTTGACCAAAGCCACCGGCTTGACCGAACCCTCCAGCCGTAGCAGCAGGTTGGCCAAAGCCTCCAGGTTTGGCACCGAATGCACCGCCTGCGCCGGCTGCACCAAATCCCGTCGTGGCCGTGGCGCCAAAACCTCCGGGTTTTGCGCCAAAGGCGGAAGTAGTGGCGGTCGAACCGAAGCCACCGGCAGCACCCTGTTGTCCAAACCCGCTGGCGGCGGGCTGACCAAAGCCACCCGCGGCACCCTGCTGGCCAAAGCCACCCACGGCACCCTGTTGTCCGAAGCCACCAGGTTTGGCACCAAATCCACCGGCAGCACCGCCACCAAAAGCCTGTGTCAAATATGCAACCGCAATGAGAAGCCAGCAAGAAGAGAGAGAGAGAGAGAGAGAGAGAGAGAGAGAGAAAGCAAAAAGAAGAGTGGGCGCAGATAGAAACGCTCGCCATAAACATACAGAGGTCTGTGTACCGCCAAAGGCAGAGGTGCCTTGCTGTCCAAAGCCCGCCTGAAAGAATTGGGGGTAAGGATATCAGTCAGAAGGCAAACCCAAAAGCAGTGTTGCTGAAAATTCACCGGACATAGACTTACGCCAGGGCGATTGAAACCACCAGCACCTGCACCGGCAGCACCTGCACCAGCGCCAAAGCCGCCACCCATGGGCTTGGCACCGAATCCACCGGCAGCACCGCCGCCAAAGGCTGACGTCGTGGCGGTTTGCCCAAACATGCCACCGCCCATGGGCTTGGCGCCAAAGCCTAAGGTTCAATTCTGGTGAGCGCAAGCAGGCTAGGGCACCTCGTGGCAAAGATGGGCATGGTGGCGATGTGGCCTACCTCCTGCTCCCGCACCAGCACCGAAACCACCAGCCGTACTAGCAGGAGCACCAAAGCCTGACAAGCAAGACAAGAGGACATGTGACGAAACCACTCAGATTCATGGAAAACCGGCAAGGGAGAAAAATGTCGAGTGACTAGGTGGGTCCAGACACGTGATCGTACCACCAGCTGCTGCGCCAGCCATGGCTGGGGCTTTGCCAGCTGCTGCATAATCTTCAAGGCGTAGTTCCTACACGAAGAAGAAAAGGGTGCAACAGAATGGGTACCAAACAAAGCTTGCAAAAGACGACGAAACCACAACGCACCTCGAGAGATTTGTGCTCGTATTGCTGCATTGCTGAGATGCACTGATAGCGGAGAGGACCATTCTTGTTGCTGTCTGATGAACGGGGCTTGAAGGGGATGGCACGGGTGCCAGAAGCAGCCTGCTGACCCATGCCACCAACCTGTTGACCCATGCCTCCCGCTCCGAAGCGGCCAGCTAGGTAGAGTAAAGGATAGGAGCGTTTAGATTTGACGAGCAATTTTGGGCCAATCTATGCTCAACGCAATGAAAGGAAGGAAGGAAGGAGGAAGGGATAAACGAGAGAAGAAACGCACCGCCAAAGCCACCGCCAGCCGTTGCACCACCACCAAACGTCGAGGTAGCACCTAAAAGCGCAACCAGGGGCAAGAACCCACAAAACAACATCATGTCGCAATGCAAACACACGTGAGTCGCTGGTGATGGTGACAAGCTCGAATCAACCTGCCTGCGCTCCCATAATGTGATGGAAACGCGCAAAAAGGCTTGGCCGTCAAACAGGAACGCACCGCCACCAAAGCCACCAGTTGGCTTGTTGGCACCAAACATGCCACCACCAGCGGCAGCTCCTTGGCCAAAGCCACCCGCCTGGGCGCCAAATCCACCTTGCATGCCTTGTGCACCAAAGCCGCCGGCCGTGCTTTGGGCACCAAAGCCACCACCAGCACCTCCAAAGCCGCCAGGTTTAGCCCCAAATGCGCCGCCGGTAGCGCCGGCCCCAAAGCCGCCGGCCCCAGCACCACCGGCGCCAAAAGCCCCAGCACCGCCACCAAAGCCTTGGGAAGCACCGCCAGCGCCAAAGCCACCTGCAGTGCCCGCAGGAGCGCCAAAACCTGCGCACAAGGGCAGCGGGTGAGGCGGGCCACAAAAAACGCGTTGAAAGTGACGAGCATGCTGCCCCGTGGGTGTCCAAGTCAACGTACCACCCGTGGCTCCACCACCAAAGCCACCACCGCCAAAGCCGGTCTTGCCTATTGCCCAGGAGCATGCCAAACCCAAAGCGAAAGGAGTCAATGTCGGTCGAACCGCCGCTGGACCGCATGGCACCAAGACAACGCGCGTGCACGTTTCTGGCCGCGGCGGGCAGGCAAAGCAGCTTACCAGCTTGGCCAAACATGGTGGCTATTGAATCAAACCAAACTCAATCCAGAGGTGAAAAATACCGCAAGCCACGGCTCCTCTGCGACACGGTCAATGCGTCCCGCTTGAGCCGCAGCGGCTTGCCTACGCGACCAGGTTCACACGCACAAGAGGGCCAACCGTCATTTGAGCATCGTTCCAACCGCATCCGAAATGAACGCCCGGCCAACACCTTTGCCACGACACAGGGTTATCATCAAACGCTTCTTCGCCCGGTGCACATGCAGCAGCAGTTGCTGAACGACCGCCTGGTGGCCGCTCGCACCAACCAGTGCAAGACCAAATGACCGCTGCCCTTTCTCCTCACCAAGGCCGCGCTCACTGACAGAGAGAGAGAGAGAGAGAGAGAGAGAGACAGAGACAGAGAGACAGAGACAGAGACAGAGACAGAGACAGAGAGACAGCAGCCAGACCACATGCTAACGCCAACGGCCTTACCGTCTCAAGACGAAAAATATCAAAAAAGAAAGAAAAAAAGATGAATTTGAAAGAGAGAGGCAAAAGCAACTGAAATCACGTGCTACCAACTGTTACAACTTCGTCGATTGAATTTTTAATAAGGGTCATGATACGACAACTTTAGACGGTAAAAGGGTCGGGCCCTGCTTCCCATAGGTGTCCAGACCTGGCGCAGATGGTGCAGCACGCCACCGTGCCATCACGTCCCCGCTCTGCGCACTGCCGTCTTCAAGAGAAGGCAGGGATGATGATCAGTGACGCCAGACGGGAAAAACGTCAAAGAGCTCGCCCTGCAAGGAGAAATAGGGTGTGTATCGGACTGCCGGGTTTTCGGTCAGGACATAGTCGAGCGAATTCGGGGCTGCGGGTGCACAGCCCGTCACGGTCACGGCCAGGCGCTTGGGCATACCCACACAGGGGTCACCAAACAACGCATCTGAGGCGGCAATGGCGCAGGAAGATTGACCACGGCAGAGCGCCGTCACCACCTGGACACTCTCCGGGGCATGACAAGCAGGATCAACCACGTAGTTGCCACAGGTCCCGGTGGGATTGCCAAAAGAGGCGAAGGAAACGTTTTCGATCGTGCCACCGTGCGCGCATTCCAAAAACAGTGTCCCATTTTCAAAGACAAATCCACCGTTTGTGGTGCCGTCGGCAGGGCAGACGTCCCGCGTTAAAAATGAAGCCGGATCGGACACTTGGGCGCCTGCGGGCAGCGCCACGTCCACCACACCGGTGGTGACATTGACTGGGCCCGTGGCCGCCATCAAAATCGGCCCATGCAAGACGCCATATCGCCGAGTGCCGTTAACCTGGGTGAGACCCGTATACAGGTGACTTGTTAGGGCGGCCTGCAGGTTCAGCTCCACGACGTGAGATGTTGTGCCACGTGTCACGCTCAGATGCACAAAGGTGCCTGGAGTGCCGTGAGCCGCCACGGCCCCATCCACACGCACGTCCACTGTGCCCGATTGCCAGCTGGGGATGCGCACAAAGACGTCCAGTTGCCCGCTGCCAGCTGCGGCGATGGTAATGTTGGCTGCCGAGTCGTAAGGAAATACCGTGTCGATCACAATATCCACATCGCCCGCCGTTTGCGGTAGATGGGCACTCGCAGCCGTATACAGGTTGACAAACACGGCCGTGCCATTGTAAGAAAAGACGTATTCGGGCAGGCTGCCTAGCATGCGCGTGCCTTGGCCCTCACAGCAGGTGCCCGTGGTAGTGGGAACCTGCTTGTTCTTGTGCAAAAGTGCAAAGTAGCGAATGCCCAGACCGTTGGGTTCTTGGTTGGCCACGCCCACGTTGAAGATCTCGCGCTCCATTTCCGTCACAAAGGTCTCGTTCAAAGGATCCAGCCGATGAAAGCGCTGATTTAGCTTGAGCCAAAACATGGAGCCGCAGAGCTCACCCGTGGGGTGTCCCGTCACGTCACGCACGTACGCAGAGAACCATTGCTTCTGATGCTCAAGGTCCACGGACGGACCTTGACAGGCAGGTGCCTCGCCATATCGCAAGGTCATGCCCTCATGATGCTGGTCCGTAAAGTCCAGATAATAAGACCCAGGGGGATAGGAAACGGCCCATGGCTCGTTGATGGCAATGCTGCCGCCCAGGTGAATCCAGTGGTGCCAAAACAGGTCCCAGGCCCCCTGCACCGCGTCCAGATAGGTGCTGTTGCCTACCAAGATACAGCGTTTGAGGTGGATAAAAGTGCGCGCGTGCTAATCTCTGATAACATCCACCTGTGTTGTCTAATTCGAGTCGCTAGAAACGCCCTACCTGTCATGATGTACATATCCATGTAGGCCTCGATCCCGGTGAGCTAAGAAAAGCAACAAGGTCAGCCAGCCCACAAGAATGGCGATGCGACTTTGAGAGGCTGTCGCTCATGATAAGCTGCAGCTGGGCCTGAAAACGCACTTCATAGTTGTGTGGAAACCAGTTGCGGCGCCAAACAGCAGTTTGATTGCGAGCGGCCAGCTCTCGCAGCCACCAATCCTCCTGCATCAGTTTGCTGACAACCTCAATGTCCTGCTGAGTACCCAGCTCGGTCAGAGACATGCGCGTGTTGTGAATGATGCCCTAGGTTTGGGTGGGGTGAGAAAAGAAGCCGTCACGCGTCGGTGAGGGAACTACAGGCAAGTTGCAGAGATGGCGCACAACCAAAGGCGCCGTATGTCTTTTGAACATGATGGGCAGGCCTACAGACTTGATAAATGAGGTAGATGCCATGGCCTTGGGTATTGGGGTTGGTGAGACTCGAGGAGGTGCGGTCATCAGGAGGCAGATACAGTGGCAGCCAAGTGCAGTTGTTGAACCAGTTGAGATGGCGGCGAATGAGGGGAAGCGCTTGCTCATTGCCGGCAATGGCGGCTTCCAAGAGACCGTGCGTGACCCAGGACGTGACGTAGTCGGGGTTCTCGTGCGTCCAGGTTTCGTTCCGTGCAAAGCCCATGGCATAGCCATCAGCCTCTTGCTCCTGCAGAATGCCCGCCACCACCTATGCAAGACTCCACTCATGAGCTGTATTGGCACATGCAGCTCATAATATGATTTTGTCTCGGGATGAGTAGCTGTTTTGCGCCTATGGGAGGGCCAGCTGTGGTGGAGCCAAACGCTTGGGTACCTCATCCATGCGCGCGCGGAGCGTGGCGTTGGCCATGGGCCAACGGCTGATGCCGCCCGATCCCATGAGAAACTCTCCGGCCAGGCTGCCGCGGAGATTGGCATCCCAACCCCAGCACTGGCCTGGCGGATTCGGGTTGCCGTTGCGCAGGCGGAAAAAGTAGAGCAAATCGTCGGTGGGATGACCAAGAAGGTAGATGATGTTGGCATCAAAGGCACGACGCAGCACTGAACCAGGCGTAAGCGTCACGTTGCTCGTTGGGACCTACGGGTGGGGGTGGGGAGACAGCATTTAAAGCAGTGCAGACAACGGCTCGTTGGCACGTGAACGGGGACTTGAGGCGCACTTTAGCGAGAAAGGCTCGGCATGATCCCCACCTCGACTTGGAAAGGCACGGCTTGATAGGCTCGGGCATCATTTCGTGGCTGCAGACGGTGATAGTAGCGAGCTCCGGTTGCGTCAGCGATGGCGTAGTCGACACTCCACTGGTTGAGCGTGCAGGTGATATTGGCACTGTCCCGGCTAAAGGAGATGCACGCAGCATCCTGCAAACAAGCGTCGGCACATGCTTGGTCGCTGGCTGCAGGCAGCTGTTTCAGCGCCGCGCCAATCACCTGCGCATCAGGCACGGGCCCGAGAAACCCTTTGATCGCGGTGCCCGAGGGTTCCCGAACCGATTGTGCAGGCCGCAACCGATCCCCCGACGCCACAGGCTTTCCCCAAACCTGCCCGACCCCCACCAACACCACCCACACCACCCAACAGCCCCTCATCATCCCCTGCCTTGCCACTGCACCACACCCGATCTCCCGCAGCACCTCAGCACCTCATCCAATCAAGAAGAGGAGGAGCAGGAGGAGGAGGAGGAGGAGGAGGCCAAAGAGTCACTGACATCAAGCTCTCAAAAAGCGCTTTTATTGGTCTCGCTTGGGCATGTTGATGTTTGTTCACACACAGCGCTTGTCAGACTTTTTATTTTGTGTGTGTGTGTGTGTGTGTGTGTGTGTGTGTGTGTGTGTGTGTGTGTGTGTGTGTGTGTGTGTGTGTGTGTGTACCTGCGGGCGTCTCCTCTCTCTCCTCTCTCTCCTCTCTGTCCTTTCGGCTTTCTGGTGAGAGGGTGCTTCGGTTGGGTCTCTGGCCTGTCACCTGTCTTTGTGAGACTCGCAGGTTATCTTGTCATTTCTGCCGGTTCATCTGGCAGCTCGGCAATCAGAGAAAAGACCGATGAAACTGAAAAGTCTTGGCCAATTTCATATGGGGGCGGGGGATGCGACCTTATTGTTTGGCTTTCTTGGCGTCGGGTTCGGCCGCGCGGGCGGCGCCATTGACATCTGGTTGCTCTGGGTCGAGGCCGAGCTGCTTCATGCGGATGAACATCTCAAAGAGGTAGTCGTAGCACTCCACCATGCCCTTGGCCTTTTGCCAGGTATCACCCCAGACATAAACGCCATGGCGTCGCACCAGCACCGCACAGGTGTCGGGGTACTCTTCCATGCAGGCAGCCATGCGACTCTAACATGTGTATAAATGGAAGCACGCGGGCAACCCAGATGAGTACGCTTGTAAGAAAAAAAAGTCAAGGGGCAAGTCAAGAGGGTCCGAGAGAAAACAAGGGCGCTCGTGTCACTGCGCCTCAAAGTGGCCGACCTGCAATTCAGCCTCGCGCGCAGTGTTCTCGATGATGGGGATGACAAGCGTGTCGTAGTAGCTACATGCAGGAGCACACGTCAAGTTGCGGTCCCACAAGGTGAGACACCGTGGATGAGGGTCAGCATAAACCAAAGGAAACCGCGACGACCCTGTTCAACGCACCCATAGCTTTGTCCAGTACTGGCCTTGCGGATGCCCTGCGTGCCCAGATGAGTACAATGTGAGATTGTGATGAGCGCGCGGGGAATCGTGAAACCGGGTGCGTCAAGGGCAGGACTGGGTCGCCGTCGCGGTCTGCCGACCTTGATCATTTCAATATTGGTGATGCGAAGCTCCTTGTCGCAGAGCATGGTGGCCAATACGGCGTTGGGTGAGTGGGAATGCAGGCAGGCCCCGGCCTTGCGCATGGTAAAGGCATTCATAAACAGCGGCGTGCACTCGGACATTTTGAGCATCTTGTCGGCCGGCGGCGTCTCCAGCACGGTGCCCGCTTCATCGGTCACGAAAAAGTCTGCCGGCTCGATGCGCTCCTTTTGAACACCACTGGGAGCAATGTAAATTTTTCCCCTGTCCCGCAAGCAAGGCAACGAGGCCAGAAGCCGACCTGGTCAGCCGTGTCATGGGCGCAGCAAGGCGACAAGCAAGCAAATCGATGGCACACGCGAGCAATTCAAAGCACATGCGGGGCGATTCAAAGCACAAAATAAATGATCAACGCACTCGTGCTTGATGGAAATGCCACCACCCGTGCCGGTGACCCAGCCATTGCGGTAAAAAAGTCGGCACAACTCGGGAATCAGGTTGCGAGGATGCTCGGGGCCATAACGATCATCAAAGTAGCGCGCGCTCAGCGCCGCTGGTTCCGCAGCCATCTTGCTCCTCAAACAGGCCACGTTCAATCCTACACCACCACCACCACCTATAACCCCACACACCCAGATTCAGTCTTCTCCACACACAGCCTGATCCTCAACCCTCGCTCTTCGCCCAGATACACTCGAAGCCCAGAGCGCGACGAGAGAGCGAGAGAGAGAGAGAGAGAGAAGAGATGAGACGAGAGAAACGAACCTGGAAATGTAAAAAGACCTCTCTTATCTTTATTCCATCGCCCTCATGACTCTATCTGTCTCTCTCTCTCTCTCTCTCGCGCGCTCTCTCTCTCTCTCTCTCTCTTTTGCAGCATGTCAAGGAGACGTCAAGTCTAACAAACACCACACTTTTATTAACACTAAAGTGTAATAAACATCTCATTTATTGTGCATCCCGAGGGCTTGGATTGGGATGGCGCTGGACGGCGGCGCAATGCTGCTGCTGGCGCGCGGCGCCGTGAGCGCTGATGGTCGGGGCATGACCGTGCATGCCTGGGATGCGGATTCAGGTATGATGCGGTGTGGTAAAAGCATTGATTTGATCCGACTGAGGTGTTGGAAATGCTTCCTGGGATGCAAATCTCGACGCCTTTGGCTGCCGTTTGAAAAGTCACGTGGGCTTGGTGTTTTTTTTTTTTTTGTTTTTTTTTCGGGGAACAGGCACGACCGCTCGAATGTACAAGGGTCAGGCCGTGGCCCGCCATGCACTGTGGGCTGGGTCCCGTGGCATGTGCGCTGCTCAACAGGACAAGGGTGCCATTGTCTTTTGGGGTTGGCAACAGGTGAGACTGTCCTGATCATGAAGCCAAGCCATCATCGTTGTGCCTCACCCTTGTGTGCCTCACCCATCCATTCACACCCTGATGGTAGGAAACACCCATGATGAAGATGCCGCTACCCGAGCGAGCCACGGCCGTCATCTGCTCCCAGAAATATGACCTGTGCATTACTGGAACGGCCTCTGGAGCCATCTATGTCTGGCAGGTCTGCATTGTGCTACCCAACACTTTGCGCAATTTCAACCCCCCGCCCACCGTGACCGGCGACCCCTGGCCTGCTCACCCTCCTCGCCATCGGATCGCCCCACTCCTCCCGACTGTAGATGTGTACTGGCTCCCTCGTACAACACTTGAGCCATGCTCACTTCCGTGCCATTACCGGTCTCGCCCTCACCGGAGACGAACTTAGCCTCATCTCCATCAGCGATGATGCCGCCGCTCGCGTCTGGTCCCTCGCGCAGTCAGTGCTTCCTCCTTCCCAATGGTCACATCGGGGCTCCTACGGCCCAACCTCTCATCAACCCATCATCTTGGCACTCCTCTCCATGGCCTTTAGCTTGGTTTTTGGCTTCTCCCAGCAGCTCTCGGGTGAAGTTCGCCCACGACATGTGTTCAGCCACCATACACTCCCCGTCACCGATCTAGCCGTCTCCGCTGGTGCGCCCACCTCGTCTTTTCTTTCTGCCCCAACAGCCTCTCGTGCCCAATAGCCCACGCTGGCCTGACACACCGCTGCTTATTTCACACAGGCCCTTCCTCCACTGCCCGACTCGTCACCGTCTCTCGTGACCGCCATGTTAATGTCAGCCTTGCTTGCCCTCGCCGTCGCCGCCTGCAGCCCCGTCATCAGTCGCCTCTCCCAATCTCATCCTGCTCTGCTTGTGCCACCCTGGAGCACAGCTTTACCACTTGGGTCTGGGGCAGCGCCTAGCATGTATCACGTTTGCCGATGACCTCACCAGTGTGGCCCTGGATCCTGCCGAGCAGTATTTGTATGTGGCCAGCAGCACGGGAAGGGTCTACCAAGTTTCACTGCATGATGAGGTATTTCTACCACTTGATTGCACGTTTTCCACCTCATCTCTCCCTGAAAGGGCTGGTCGGCACTCTTTCTCAAACTCCATCGCCTCGGTCCGGCCGCTACAGGTTTTGGAGCAAGCGAGTGGCCTCATCTCACAAAGCCAGTGTGCCCGTCGCGTTCAAGCCCACGAGTACGTAAATAATGGTACCGCTTACTTTGCACACGTTGCACTGTACATGCCTCTTGGGGCGCTTTCTCAGGTTACATCTCGACATATGAACACATCCACGTGTGCCTCTGACATTCTGGCTCGTTTGTCACTCGACCCTACGCAGACGGCCCATCACCTGCGTAGCGGTCGTTAGCAACGGCGCCCGTCTTGTCACAACCGACGACGCGGGCTGCGTGCGACTGTGGGATACGGGCAGTATGCAGGTCGTCAAAACCCTTGAGGAAGGCAGTACGTTCTTCTGCCGTTCTCCATGGCATCACGAGGTGCACACGCTCACTCATCGCACCTTTGGCCGTCATAGCATCATTGGCGGCTCTCCTTGTGAGCCCCTCACAGTGGCTTGAGCCAGCTGTTGCCAACGTCAGTCTGCTCATCCATGCTCGCAGCCCCGGATGCCACATCGACACACTACCAGTCCATGCTCACAACCGCTCGTGCGCAACCTATAGCCTGCTTTACAATTGAAACTCTTCCAACGAACGCGTCAAGAGGATCAAGAGTCCGACGACCGGCTACGCGTGGTCATTGCACCGACGCAAGAACCAGTACGTATCACCAACTTGCGGCCAGTCCCCGTGCTGTTGTTGCTGCATCAGCACCGCTGACCCCGAAGTTGTTGTTTTTGGACTGAGCCTAGACTAGTACGCCAGTTTTGAACACCACGGTCCTCGAGGCTGCTCGTCAGCCCGAAGGTGCCTTGCATGCGGCTGCACCTAAAAAGGGTACCGAAACAGGGCATCGAAATGCTCCCGCCACGTCGAGTACATCCGATGAGCCGTCAGCGGTCGAGGAAGATCTTCGCCGCGAACTGGCACGCTGGAAGGCGCGAGCTCAGCAGCTTCATACCCTGGCCCAACAGGTGAGGGAATGACCCGCAAGAATAGGCTGGATGCTGGATGTGCCTTGCTTATCGTCATTTGTGGTTCTGCTTGCTAGAACTTGAAAGAGGCGTTGGACGAACTGCCACCCTTCTTGGCCCGCCCCGAGCCTTCAGGTAAAGACTGGCATTCTTTGTGCGTCGAGACTTTCTGTGTTTTTGTGAAAGTTTTGATCCGTGCATTTGCGGTTGTCTTGTAGATGAGAGTGAGTTGACGCCCGAAGTAGCCGGAAATGGGCCAGAGGGCGCATCGGGGCAGCCCAGCAGCAAGCGCAGCAAGAAAAAGAAGAAGAGCCGTGCTCGACAAGGGAGCGCCTCGTGATGTTTTACTTGATAGCGTGCACAGACTCGAGCCTCAGTGACCATCAAACCTCGGAGCTTGACCGCATGAGGTCTAGCAATGTTTCAATCGACTGCAATTAGAACTCTCCACTGGCAGATCACATTCAAGTCGTTCCATTACATGCTCGGCAGCCCACATTGCAAGCGTTATCAGGTCCCGTCATCTTTCAAGGCATCTCTCTTGCTCAACGAATCACGTCTCCGCGAGTGGGATCGGGGTGGCTGCCTCGCTTGACCGAGTCGAAGCTGCCGCCGTGGCTGTCTTCTTTACCTTGCGCTTACGTCTCGAAAACGGCGTCCTACACTCGCCCGTTCGATCAATCAGCCGGAGCGCTCAACAACAAAGCATGGAAAGCAAGAGAAAGGTATTCCCATCCCTCGCTTTAGCAACGCCACGGACAAGGGACGGAAACCTACCGGCAGGATGGGCAAATGGCAATTTTGCTGCAAAAAACTGCATCCGACACATCATCAGAGCAGAAGAATGAACATTGACGAATGGAAAAAAAATTAAAAGAGGGTGGGTCTGGGTTCAGAAGCGGGTGCAGGAACGCGCGTACTTGACAAACAGACGGAGCAGACAAAGCCCTGATCTAGTGCTTGGCCATGACAAAAGCAGGTGCTTTGGTAATTGACATCGTGCAGCTCTGGCTGCACCAAGGTCGTCCTTGTGGCGGGATCTTGCGAGAAAAGCTCCTAGGGAAAGGCTCCAAAAGTGAATAAAACAATCGTCTGTACAACGTGGCATGATGGTCAATTGGCAAGGCAGATTCGCACCAAGAGCGCTTGAATGAGGCCTTGCGGTTGATCGAGGCACAAATATATTCCTCGAGAGAGCTCGCATAGCTGCTCCAGGTGCCCGTGCGGTGCACTTAGCGTGCACGCATCCACTGGAATAGACTAATGGACCAATGTGCATGACAGGGTGGCGGGGTGGGTGAGGCAACCGCATGCGGCTGGCCGGCCGCATGCACAAAGCAACAAGGCAAACCTGTTTTTGGGTGGCAAAGGCTACATTCATGAGTGCAACGTAGTGGGCACTGTGAGCGGGGCTGACGCTGAGGCATAGGATCCGGGAGGCCGAGGCCAACTTGCGGGTTTTTCCTGGAGCCTCACGATCTACAGTCCCATCGCCAGCACAACATGAGAAAAGCCGGTAATCTCCCAGTGCCGGGTGGAGAGCTCGAGCCGTACCAGCCGGGTTTCTGCGGAACCGGTTGCAATCTAGAGGTGGAGCAGAGATGCAGGTTGGGCCGAGCCAGTGTGATGATGCGGGCTGACAGGGATGCACGCTCACGGCGCCGTCGAAGAAACACGGCAACAGCAGTCAACGCACAGCAGGTGGCTAATGTTAAAGCACCGGGCAGGTCCGGAGGCCTCTCAATATCGCAGGCTGGCACCCAAGGCGGCGCGTGCATGGTCAGCGACATCACGAGTTTGTCCACCCAGTCGCAAGCCGTATGAAACTTACGTTGTCCCATGAGTTCAGCGCAGCCAGACGAGAGCCGCTGCGCAACATCACTCAGCGCTCGCGGCATCCCAAAACGTGGGTCGTCGGTGGTTCCCAAACCAGATAGAGTTGAGGCACTACCCTGAAGGATGTAGCGACTGAGAAGAAGCAGGAGAACCCTGTTAGGAGGCCGCCAAGTCGGAGGAGCGAGCCCTCGGGAAGGAATGGTGCCTGTCGAGCAGACCTGGCAGCAGGAAGTGCAGCAATGACGGCGAGTTCATTATCGGCGTGATTTGCAAGATGCGCATTACAGAGCAGGGTCACGGCCCGCAGGGCCTCGTCCAGGGAGAGGGACTATGCATGCCATGGCGTTGAGCAATGAGACAGCAAACACAGCATAGCAGCAGGCGGCCTGCTGCGTTGCGGATGATCCAACAGAGACGAGAGAAAGGCCGAGCAAGGGCTCACAGACCGAAGCAAGGGCGTCCCAGGCTCGAGGGTGCAGATCCAGCACCACGGCCAACACCGTCCCTGCACCCGCGAAGAACAAGCGCGACAAATCCAAGGAGCATCAACAACATCATCAGTCCATCCGAACAA